AATCCAAGAAGCCACACCAACCCTTTTTTGATTGTCAGAGTCTCCTCCTCGGTGTCCGAGAGCGTGATGATTTTGATGGGTGTCTGAGGCACCTTCAGACTGTAAAACCTGGAGGGAAGAAACAGCAGCTGTGTTCATTCTGCTGGCAGTGCTGCACATTCCCTGCTGAGGGAATGCCAGCTGCTCTCAGACTGAAGTACTTTTTACTGGTAACCCTGGTAAGAATGGCAGGATGCAAATATATAATGCCAAATTAAGGATGTGAGAAAAAAACAACAACGAGCCCACTTAAAATACCTTATAGTGTTATCTGAAGTCAAGAGCACGATGTGGGGCTCCAAGGTGTCACAGGGGTACCAGGCTGCATGCTTTAAAGTCAGGGATGTTGAGCTGGTGAAGAACCTTTCTGCAATAGGAATGGTGCTGGAATGCAAAGCAGAAACTTGCACTGTTATCAGAAACACACAAGTTACTTCTCAGGGGAAGTGGGGGCAAGAGGAGCTAAAGACACAAAAGGTTTCGAAGTCTTTATCTGTGCTATTCTGAAAGTTGGAGGGTCAGCTTTAACTTGAAGCTCTTTGTTATTTCCACCCAGACATGTGCTTTTGGCTGCCACCACCCAGAGAAGCTGTGGCTGCCCCATCCCTGGAAGTGTCCAAGGCCAGCTTGGATGGAACTTGGAGCAACCTGGGCTAGTGGAAGGTGTCGGGATGGAACTGGATGGCCTTTAAGGTCCCTTCCAACCCAAACCATTCTGTGATTCTATGAAAGGCTAGAGAATACTACTCTCTAGCTCTTTGCTCCTCATTAACTGCAACAAGTTTAAAAGGTCATTTATTTGGGTCACTTGACAACCAGCAAGCTCCTGAGCCAAAATAACTTCATTTACGAGTCCCTACAACCCTGACACAACCAGTGTCTTCCACCAGTGTCTTCTGCATCTGTCTGACCCCAAGAAAGGGATGCTGTGGATGAACAGCAGCAGGACAAGGACAAGGGTGTCATTAACCACCTGAGGTCTCACCCACCTACAGTTCACCATGGATTTCCCACCTTCAAACTCGGAATTCTTCCCCCAGCGCTTGGGCAGCTCCAGCACCATGAGCCCCTTGGTGCCGATGAG